GTATTTTTCACAGGAGGCCGTTTCAATAGTCCACACTGCTGGAGATGAAGTCACGAATGAGTTCATTTACATCTTGTCTGGACATGAGAGCTCCGATTCCTTCTTTGTTTGTGATGATAAAATGCTGATTTAGTTTTTTGCCTCAGTCTAAAAGTCTAAATGGATAAATATCAATATAAGTGTTCCAGATCAAAATAATAACGATCTTTACCCTCTATTAGGCCTACACTGCCACCGTGTGGTAGCAGTAGAAACCAGAAATCTTTAACATTTCTAGCCTTTATCTACAATGTCCTGGATGTATTCTTTCTCGTGATGCATATCACCAAGTAACTCCCATTTTTAGTTTCAGTTTAGAGTCATAAAAGCATCTTATAGAAAAAGAAGGATGTTGACTTATATTGAATAATGTAACACGGGATGTTGCATCTGTGTTGTAGTTCAATCATATCAAAAACTGTGTTGGCTTCTGGAAATTGATGGCTTAAATTCTAAAACAATGTATAAAATGTACATCCTAATGCCATACACTATCTTATACATATACATAATAAACATGTGGAAACATGTTCAAAATGAATTAGTCCAGTAGTGCAACTCTGAAGGTCTTAAAGACAAACCCTGTCAAACAATGCTGTTATAAAAGCCAGACAGATTATAAAACATTTCGGGAGAAGGAATTTGTAACAATGTCCATTAGACCAAATCATTATATTTTACTGAAATGGCTTCATGGTAGTTGATGGAGGATGCGACACCCAGGGAGACATCCTGCTCCCATTTATCACAATCAATCTGGGTGCAAAGTGGGAAGCCCTCATCCCCGAATCCAGATATGTCCGATAGGGGAGCGTAGAGGTCTCTGCGACCAACAGTCTCGTAGCCTTGATACACAGGGGTCACCGTAGTTGAAGCTGAAAGTGACCTGATGCAGAATCCTCAATATCTGGCTGCTTTCTGTGACCTCAGTGCAAGAAGACGCCTCAATGTCACTACTCAGACCACGCAAAGCCTTCACCAGGGGAGAAGAGTCTTCATTTGTGGGAGGGAAGTCAGTACCCATGCTGACTGGCTCACACATGTGGAGACCTCCAGGTCCTGGTGTAGATTTGGAGGGTCCAGAGATGCAGTCCAGCTCAGAGCTGTTGCAGGCTGGATAGTAAAGGTGTCGCTTTTCCCCAAGGACTTTTGTTAGATTACATGCAGTGTAATTATCATCATCAATATCACTTTTTAAAGCATTCAGGCGAGTGACTGTTCGCATCCATGCTGAAAGACAGGACATACCGGAAAGTTGACAAATCAGCAATTAGCTTCTCAAATCCTCATTTTGTTAACATTCCTTATAGCGCCTACATTCTCCCAAATTTTTCTCCCAGCTCCCTTTTAATGTTTTAATGTAAAACTGAGATAATGTAAGAAATATAACGTTACAAGTAAAAGTCTTTTGTTGTACACTGTTGGGTATACTTCAATGAAGCTTTTTTGTGTACAATCTGAATTTGCAAAGTTCAATATTTGCCACTGAAATATTGGAGAAGAACTATAAAGTGTCATTGAGTTGAAATACTCAAGTACAGTAGCGTTACAGTACCATTAAATTTAGGACATGCGCGGGCAGTATTGGACCGTGACAAAATCAGAGATGCTATTTGTAAGATACATAAAATATATATAAGTAAAACAAATAAAGTTGCATCAAACAAATAACCTACAAAAAGACTCATAGTCTGGCAGTAAAACATATTAAAAAAAGTTTAAAATGTAGCTATATTTAACAAATTTGCGAGCTGGCATCCTTAAATATTCTAGACAACAGTTGGAAGTATTTCTCCATTGTTGACTTTTAAATCTTTCTTTCTGTCAGGACTGCAGTTGCTGCTTACTCGGCTCGTGAACGTCAACTGACAAAAGTGAATTGTTCTACGGAGCATTGTGACATTCATAGAACGGCCTCATTCTGGAACTCTAATTATGCCATGTTGTATTGTGTTAAACAAAAATCAACACCCTGGTACTAAAGGCCACACATTCCCAAAAATATTGTCACAAAACTAAATTACCCACTCGTACTGTACTTTGTGATTGAGATTTTTCTTTTCTACTGGTATCATATTTTGTAACATGCCATAAAAACTAACGAACAATACAAGGAACCTGCTGTTATTATTCAACGATGTTTTCTGTTTGTTTTTAAATGATTCTGTTTTGTGTCATAATTTGTTGTGATATTAAATCATAATCAGCAGGCTGTAACTTGTGCTGTAAAAGTTATTTGCCGCTTGGGATAAGTGGGGTCCGAGCAGTTTTACGTGGCAGCACTAGAGGGAGCCCTCTACTCAGTCTCCACCGTCTCCTGAGCTCAAATAAATATAGATGTAAAATCCATCACAACTAACTGCAACATGAGGCCAAGGGACTGGTATTCAAATAAGACATGAGTTGTAATAGGAGGGGGGACATTTTTAAAATTTTAAATTCAAATTTAGGAATAATCCCTCAGAAAGTGTCCCAGGTAGAGTAGCTCATCTATACCATGCAAACACACACTGTGCGGTCCACACATCTGGAGTTCAGTGCTGCTCTGGGGGGGTTTCTGTCACTGTTCACTGACTCGCTCTCTAAATTTATCAGGACTTGTATTCATCATGTGTGTCTCTCGTATTTCTGCTGGCCAACAGGACCGACCGGCTAAGAATAGAAGAGCACTGACACAGATTAACAGGGCTGGTCTCTCCCTCTCACTCTTTCTAACAACTAATTATTTTCCAACTGTCGCTCTTACGACCATGAACCTCGTCCTTCTCTGCGTGTGTCTTGACCTTTTCGTATGTTTGACTGGTGACCTCGTCCATTGTAGCGTGTGGAAGACGGGGACAACCTGAAGTTCAAATAAAGAGCAAGCCCAGGTTTGATCTGTATCAGTAAGATGTTTGGTGAGCTTTGAGGGTGTTGTTGTCCTCTCAATTTGGACTGTTTGACCCTTAGTTTCCCAGTAAAACCTTCAAATACTGTTCACAACTGCCTGCAAAAGACACACGTTTACAATCAGGGATATTCCTTGACAATAACTTTTATCTATATGACTTTTATCAATGACAGGAGAGACAAGAGAGTCCTTCAGTGACTCCTAAATGTCACATCTAATCCCGAGATGGAGCAGGAGCTCCAGGATATGTGGGGTTGTCCCACAGAGAGAGAGGGAGAGTTGATCCAGCACACGACAGACACCCAATCACAGCCAGCCAACTAAAGCCCAATTGGCTGATGATGTGCAGGGTTACTTAAGGTTACTTAAGTGTGTCCAGGTCAGAGGAGTTAGAGTTCACAGAGCCATTAACATGGCTGGAGACTTTTGTTCATATTCAAATCTACATCCACATACTTCATTCTAAATAGTCTATTAAAAAGCATATTTATTGGTTTTAACGTCATATCTTCCACAGCAGCAAACTGAGCACCACGCCTCAGCAGCCAACTGTAATCTGGCATTGAATTACAAGGCTTGAAGTAAAAAGCTGCCCACTATTTACGCATCTCTGACAGCAGATAGTCTTTTTCACAATGTCAGAACATAATGCTGGACATGAACAGCTGCGTAAACACATGAAGTGAGTTTACCCACTGAGGTGAAGAGCTTTTATGACATTTTGTTTTGGCAGACATCGTCGCTGAGAGTTAAAACACCATAAAGTTAGCCAGCGGAAAACAACATATCTGCACTTCATCCAGATATCTGGCTCAACACAGGAGATAAGTGTTATCTTGGGCAGTCTGCATGCGAAAGCAAAATGAACCTGAAATGTGGACCTGATAATAGTTAGAGTTCATAGTAATACATCCAATAGTTATCTCAAAATCACAAAGGTCGACCTCAACCTGAAGGTACTGGAAAAGTCAACGTCATCCTCAGGAGACCATGAATGTCTGTATAAAATGTGAGTGTAGTCTGCTGTTGGCAGTGCAGAGACATGTTGAGGAAATGGATCCAATTTCCTCCAAGATTCCTATCTCACATTCTTAGGATGGAAACAATAATGTTAAAGAGTATGTTATTAGTGGATGACAAAAGAAACAAACAGATTGGTCATACTACCCAGTACAACAAGAAAAGAAGTAGTTACACCCTGTCTGTGAATGAGTCAGTCATCTTCTATAGTGACAAATAGAAAGGGAGGTGATTATTAAATAACACCAAAACCACCTAAGATAGATGAACTCACCAGATAAATCAAATGACAGTCAGTTGCTTGGGGTGTTATCAATCAAACTGTATGAAGCGACACACACACACAGCCCTGATGATGACACATTAGCTGAGTTTTTGAGTGTTAAACTTTGATTATTGTACGGCTATTTTTTTTTTAAACTTTAACTTGTAAACTATGAATTCGTTTTTTTAAGATTTGAGGTAACACTATTAAACAACAAACATACATACATATTCTCTTTGTTCCACACTTATTGAAGGCATTTAATATCTTTTGACGAGAAGCAAGAAATAAGCATACAGCTGAACAAAGACAACAATGATGAAGGTCAAATAAACATTTAACTGTAGACATACGTGAATAAAGATAATGACATAATAGGCCTATGTAAAAAAAAAAAGTATAGGCAACAATGAATAACAACATAACATATATATAAGTCAGATTTCTGTCAATTGTAAACAAGAATAAAAAGAGGGGTGGAATATTGATTGATTAATGCAACACGTGTTTTCATATACCTGAAACAACAACAGTGTGTAACTATGAAATAGACTAACTTTACAAAGCCTATAATTTGCAGCAGACTAGTGTCAAAGAAATGAAGGGTGTGTAATGGCTGTGTATTTAAAATAATATGTTCTTCTGATACTTTAAAATATCTTTTGAGTTTCGCTTGTGTGAAATTAACTGAATAGCTTGCATACTAGTGCGGAGGACGGACTACACTCAGCTGCAGCAGCCTCGGGGCGGCAGACAGCGTGAGAAGAAAAAGAAAGCTCCTTTGACGTCAGCCACGTTAGGTTTCATTTAGTCCAAGATGGCGGAGGTGAGCGGGTTGAGGAGCAGAAATTACTTCGAGCCCAACTGCAAAAGCCGAGGCATTGACGAAGGTAAACCGTTGTTGATCTTGTCGAGTGGATGTGTGACAGTGAAGCGATTAAGGAGTGAGGAGCTGAGGAGCGAGGGGGGATTAAAACAATGGACTTTTGCTTCGATCGTCTTTGTCTTTTCTGAACTCGCTTTTCCGTTACAGCCTCTGTTTTCATTTGGTGTTGTGAAAAATATGGTACCCCGTGTCGGACTGTGTCTCCTCCAACGTTAGTCTGCAAACATAGTGTCAACACAGTCTAAACTGTGTTTTAAAATTAACGTTGAAGCAGAAACGTGTTGCCGGCGTGTGTTTTCGCTTTGTCATAACATGTTTTTCCCTCGTTAACTCGAGTGAAACCGATTCTGGCTCGGGTACCAAATTCACCCGCGACACCTGTCGGCTCATTTGTCCGGACCGTCACTTTCACCTGGCGGCTCGTGAACGAGGAGCTGCACTAGTCACAGCTGTATTGGCTTCAAGTGCACGTGTTTGTGAAGTTTTGGAGCAGCTCGCTCTGTGCTGCACCAGTTTTCTGTTCAGTCCAACTTAAACACAACACGTTAATCTTCTTCATGGCACTAATGACTCTGGGATATATTTAAATGCTCTATTATTAGTCTGTTCAGTTCTCCAGCAGACGTATTAACGTTAAACGGCTAATGTTGTCCTCTGAACATGTATTATTATTATTATTTATGTAAACCATAGTCATTAACACACTGTTGACTGATGCTAAAATTAACACGTTACATCTGATGCTGATATTTCTTGCATTGAATTTGCTTTTTAAATGAAATGTGTTAACTATTTCTTTTTTTAAATATCTCGATCAGGGTTTCTTTTCCACTAAATGTACAGTTAATTTGGTAAATCAGCAACGATTCATGTTCCCATCTGTGACAAACGGTGCCGTCGTTAAATTAGATTTAAAGCGGTATTGGGGGGGGGAAATGGGGCTACTGCCAGCACCTTGTTTATATTGAGTAGTTGATTGACTGAAGTTGGCAACTTAAATATCAGTAATTTTGATTATCGATCAATCATCAGTGAGTTGTTTAAATGAGCAAAAATGTCAGAAAAATTCACATCATTTCAAACTTTTTTTTGAGGTGTTCATAGCTAATTCTCAGCACACTCAATGTTATTGTAACCTTTCTCTCACCCTTGTACAGACTCGTAAACGGTTTGTCAGTCTCCCCAAAGTTCCTCACTGAGATACTTTTTATCACGATAACCTTTATGTCTACTTTCATACGGACCAGCTGACTCTGTGGCAACAGCATTCACTGAGTGCGGCTGCTCTTAGTCTGCACTTTGTCCTCACGGACTACTGATCGGTCTGCTTGCTGCTGCTGAACATTTGCCCTCCTTGACTCTTGTCCAGAGAGGCCGTGGCAGGTTGTCTATTGGTGCGGCTGTGCATGAAAGTCATTGTAACTGCATCTACAGCGGATGATTCGTCTGCTTTCGTTAACTCAAACTCTGCAGTGTCTTTGTCTTGACATATAATAAACCTATATAGCCAGTGGTCACTCAAAATATTAATTTTCTCCAAATAATTAAGAATGCATATAGCCTGGATGTGACATGCGGGTGTTGAAACCCTGCTTGAGAAGCACTGGTATTAATAATCAGTCTTGCAACAGTAGAGAAACGACTCCAGCATGAATTTCTCAATGCTTAAACTGTCAGTGTTCTCTCCTACGATCCAAAATGTGGTTTAAGAAAAAAAGACGGCATCAGCAAATATTTATTTACATCTTGCTTGCGGTGTATTTGTCACCGTCTAACTCGCAGCAGTGGTGACATTTTCCTCGCATGCTTCAGCTTCACTCCCAAAGGTTTGTTTGGGGGTCTTCATTCCTATGAAGCCTCCCGTTTAAGTCAAGTGGTCTGTGGATTTATCAGTCTGCCTCAGATATAGTCCAGGGGAAGAGAGATGCAGTGCTGCGATGTAGGACCGGCCTGCACTCTGTTCCTGCCATGCATAGTTAAAGATAGACCCCACACTTGTGTGATGCTTTGTGTGCTCTACAAACTCATCTTATCCCCTCACAACTTTGTGTGTGTAACACTGTGCAGAGAAAATATAATGTAGGCCAGTTAACATCTGCTCAGTGGCTCCATGATAAGAGGTGAAGTAGCTAATTTTAGTTCTGCCCTCGTTTGCTGCGAGCTGAGGCTGAAGGACAGTGCCACTTTATCAGAGTGTAGCGGCGAAGGTGCATATCAGCAAAGATAATACGTTTTCACCGGCTGTTGTGCTTCCTTGCATGCTTATTGTGTTCTCCTCGCGGTCCCAGCAGAATGGTGTCTTTGTGTGGGTCCCCTTTGAGCCACTTCATCCTGCTGAGAGCTGCTCTGGACTCGGATGTGGTCCTGCACGGCCTCAGACTGATGAAGTCCGCTAGGCTAATTTGTGTGCGGAGAGCAGATTACTGTATGGCTAGATTACTGCTCCGTGCATACGGACCAGCAGAGCTTTTCTTTTGGTGGATTTGCAGCGACTACAGAGTTGATCTCGTGGATGCCCCATTTCCAGTTGTCCTATTTGAGGGACTCACAACAGCCCTCCTTCTTTCTTTAAAGTGGCCCAGTGCTGGTGCCTGGATTCAGACAAGCTAGCATTACCACCACTTAAAAGTACATAAAAAAAAACACACAGCATTACAACTACGATGTGTAATCTACTTTGAGTTGTGGAAGAAAATATCAAAAAATGAGTTTGAGGATCATCGACTAGAACTTGACGTTGATAGTTGAGGCAGCTGATAGTCAGTAAAAGTAAGAGATGGTGTTATTGATCCGGTTTGTTGTTGTTTTTGTCTCCCCTGTCACTGGTTCCGTAGCTTTAGACCAGCAGATAGACGGCGCTTGTTGGAGATTACCTACTGATGTACTTGTGGAAAGAAAGGTGTGGCCTCTAGCTTGTGTGTTTGCTGCTGATGTAGCTCACTACCTGGGGACACGTTTGTGATAAACTGGTTGGTACAGCTTCATGCCCTCTTCCTGTGTCAACCACACATGGCACCGCTGTCGTTGCTCTCTGTAGTGAACAATGGAGACATTTGGTTTGGATGTCTACACCGGTAGAGTGAAATAATTTGGTTCTACTTGCTTGACGTAGATGACGTAGCAACGTTTTATTCTATGCCGTAATAGTTCTCACTGTTGGAAACAGGTGGAGTGTCCAGGGTGTGTCTTTTGTCCCTGCACTTCTTCAGATGAGTAAGTGAATGAGGACGTCAGTGACTTGCATGCAGGTCCAGCGTGTCCATCAAGGGATGGGTCCTGCTGATTTGAATGTGGAGAGAGTCACTGTGGTGTGGTTGACTGGCCAGTCATTTGAAATATTTGAATGACCAATGATTAATGCTAGTTGTCCTACTTGTTCAGTGGCATGCTTATGGCCGATGGAATGCCACTTTCAGTTTGTGCTGCAGGGGATCATCTTAATCCTGTACCAGGGATTAATTCTACACCTGGGGGGTGTATTTACTTCTGCACAGAAAAGCAGGAAACTGGATCAACAGTCGTATTGTAAATGTTTGTTCAAGCAGCTTCATTTGTGAATAATGCTTCATAGAGTTCTGAACACTACAATGTAACGCTACCAAGACGAGCTACCCGTCTGCGTGCCTCAGTTTGTGGTTCAGCAGACTTTTACTGCAGTTGTTACTGTGACAGGAAGGATGGTATCTTACAGTTCTAGAGGCAACATACTGGATACTTAAAAAGAAAGTACTTTCATAGAAACCGGCTGAGATGAAGAATGTGAAAACGCTGTCCCCTTAATTAACTTATTTTTCTTCTGTCTTTTTTTTTTTGGCTGGCCCTTTGTGATTTTCAGGCTATTTTTGAGCTTGACCTAGATGGGCCGACCAGAGTGGATGACAGTATTTAGCTGGAAAGATCTACAATATGACCGCATGGAGGGCATTTCTCCTTCTCTTAAACTTCTCCAAACTTATGACGATGAAACCCGGTGGTGTTTGATCTTAAACACATAAACCCCGCCTCCACATCTTGCTCCTCACTTTACGCCCGTTGTCTTGTACAACAACACGCAGCATGACGTTATCTAAACGGTGTAATTTAATCTTTTTCTCTCTACTTTGTCCGGTTATCTAAAGGCTTGAGTGGTATGGAAGATGTCCCCATTCATCGGCACAAGCAGAGGCCTCCTTTAGCCCGGCCCGACGACCTGGAGGATGAACTGCTCCCCAGGACCACCGTCTCAAACTCGGGCAAAAAAGCCAAGCTCACCCCCTCACCAGACGAGTTTGTGGAAGGAGAGGTAAAGTGGTTGCTGTATTTCCAACATTAAGCTAAGATTTATCTACGAGAAATCTCTGTGTCTTGTACAACAGGCTCCTGAATGTCTTCACCTTATTTCCCCCCCCGCAGACGCTTTAATTGCTGATCTCAGCGTTGTTATTTTCAGTTCCCCGTTTCCTCCGTGCAACCTGCCTCATCATCATTATAACGACCTAAATGCTTTCCTGATGCCAGAGAAAGCCACTGATTGATTGCAAACTCATGTCTTCAGGCTGCTGTGATGGAGGAGGAGGAGGAGGAGGAGGAGGAAGAGGAGAAGGCCAGGCCCATCCAGATCGTCGTGGCCAACGAGGACGAGCACAGCTTCGAGCTGGACGCCGCGGCGCTGGAGCAGATCCTGCTGCAGGACCACGTGAAGGACCTGAACGTGGTGGTGGTGTCGGTGGCCGGGGCCTTCCGCAAGGGCAAGTCCTTCCTGCTGGACTTCATGCTGCGCTACATGCACAGTCAGGTGAGATCAATCAATCAATCATCTCCTGCTGATGGCGTGTTTACATGAGCTCAGTAAACATAACTCCTCCTGCGCTTTAATATTGTGTAACATTCACAGGCAGTAGAGATTGTGAAAACAGGTGGGCTGGATGAAGTAGAGCAGACGGGGTTACAACCAGCACAGACAAGTGCGTCTTGTTCGGTCTCATCCTGAGAAAGTGACTCAACCAGGTGACTAACACGTGCAGCGTCAACGCGGCGCGGTGGTTTAACTGGTCTCCACCTTCTGGGAAGGTGAACGTCACCATATTTATGTTTCATAATAAGAGTTTTGGAACCTTTTTAATGTAATAATAATATAAGCGTTTCGGTCCAATACACCTAATTTCCCTGTGTGGTTACTGGCCTTTTATATAATATCTGTAAATATGAATAACACCAAGTGGTACATTACACGCACGCACGCACACACACACACACACACTCTCTCTTGAGCTCTAACAACTGTGTGTATCAACAACAACTAGTCTTTCAGAAGCAGCCAGGATCACCTTACACTCACTTGCACATACTCTCTCTGAGACACACACACACACCCGTAAAGAGGGAGGAATGTTTCTCTCACAGCTGTTATGAATGTTTTCATTCATGCAAGTTTGACCGGATCTGCACATGCTCACATTTTCCCCTGAATACTGATATTGTTTCTTTGGACTCTTGATATTCAGTTCCATCCAGAGGTTAATGTTGCAAACATCAGCTGTCACAGTCGTGTGTGTTCATCTGTTGTTATTGGACTGCAGCTGCACGTTCTCATCAAGTGACGAGCTGCATTCCTGCTCTGTAGTGACGAGGCCTTCAGCACAGACATTGTGTCGTGCACACCAAGAATCAGTGTTCTCGCAGTCTTTGCCTTGCAAATCAGGTATTTGCTTGGCCGGTGAGGCTTGTTGGCGCACCTCCTATTTATGGTCTGTGGATTTCCTCACATGTCGGCTGGAAACAAAAACAAGGTCACAACGTGCTGCTTTAATTTCACCTTTTTTTTTTTTTTTTTAAAGTCATAACACTTATTTTGAATGAGGGCCTTTTAATGATCCGTAAAAAACAAAAGACTGACAAGATAAACATTACATAAAGCCTTGTGCTGCAGCATATTCTTGTTTCTGTGTGACTCAATCAGTGTCTCCGAGTGATTTGTTGACACCTGTTACTCTGTACACTGTAAAAACACGAGGACGATGGTATGACTTGTGATGCTACAGTGTCCTGTGGTGGTTTAAGTCAGCTATCAAGAAAGAACGGAAGAGTTCTCTCTCTCTCTCTCTCTCTCAACCCTTTTTTTTCTGTCCCAACCCATTTTCTCATCTCTTCTTCTATTCCTCTTTCCTCTCGTCGTGCCCTATCCTCGTCTCCTCTATCCTCGTCTCCTCCTTCTTACCTTCAGCAACAACCGAGTGCGTCGTGGATTGGAGGTGATGATGAGCCCCTCACAGGGTTCACCTGGAGAGGGGGCTGCGAGAGGGAAACCACAGGAATTCAGATCTGGAGCGAAGTCTTTGTGGTCGAAAAGCCTGATGGCAGCAAGGTAGACGGTGATCAAACAAACAGTACAATAAGTCCTTATGAGCTTCATCCTCACATGAAGCTCATAAGGAACCTGCTGCAGATCAGATTTCTGTGTTTTAACACTGTAAACATTAAACATAAATACCCTACTTGGCCGACAGGCTGCAGTATTTTACATCTCTTGCATCTCTTGTCAACAGGTCGCTGTGCTCCTCGTGGACACTCAGGGAGCTTTTGACAGCCAGTCCACCATAAAGGACTGTGCTACTGTGTTTGCCCTCAGCACCATGACCAGCTCTGTACAGGTGGGACTTAAACAGCTTGTGTTGTCTGGTGTAAATATGCTGTTGCTTCTTCTTTCACTTACAATGTCGTCCCATGTTGTGTTTCTTCTTTTTGTTTTTCAGGTGTACAACCTCACCCAGAACATCCAGGAGGACGACCTGCAGCATCTGCAGGTTGGTGTTACGTCGTCTCCTCATCTGGGAAAATAGCACCAAAGTTACAGTGACTCCTGTTACCGGATCATCAACTTTGATTTTCCTCTCACATTCAGCTCTTCACAGAATATGGCCGCCTGGCAATGGAAGAGATCTACCTAAAACCTTTCCAGGTACAGACTGTGAACATGCATGTCATCTGAATGCTATATAGAACATGCATCATGTCCATAGAGTGATATTATATTAAATAAGTAGCTGCACAGCAAAGCATGTAGTTTTATAATAATAATATTAGGAGATTATTAACATATCTGTAGAATTGAAACAATAAGGGTTAAAACTGTTTCAGTCGCTGATGTTTCTGATTCGGGACTGGTGTTATCCTTATGAGCACAACTACGGACTGGAAGGAGGCAACAACTTCCTGAACAAAAGACTACAAGTGAGAATCTTTATTCATTTTATTTTTTTAACAATTTGAAAATGCAGATTTGTTTTTTTGTTGATACTGGACTATTTTTCCTACCCTGACCTTTCTACACATTGTTGAAGACGTGTATGCAGCCAGTCACACACTCGCTGCTCCTGTCAGACACACCACACCTCTTTTTACTTATCTCATCGTGTGTGGGTGTGGGTGTGGGTGTGGGTGTGGGTTTACACGCTCCACACATCAGTCAATGACGAGAGAAGAAAAGGCACACTTTCACTGTGAGTCAATTGTTGTCTGCTGACTCAGGTGAAACAGCACCAGCACGAGGAGCTGCAGAATGTGAGGAAGCACATCCACTCCTGCTTCTCAAATATCGACTGCTTCCTGCTGCCACATCCGGGCCTCAAGGTGGCCACCAACCGGTACTTTGACGGCAGGCTGAGAGGTGAGAAGAACATGAACTAATAACAAAGACGAGTGATGGCTGAAGCATGCTGGACTGAAATGTCACGTTTCAGAGGACAATCAACAATCGAGGTGTGTGTGTGTGTGTTTTTCAGACATCGATAGTGATTTTAAGAGGGCGCTGGCCAGACTGGTACCTCTCCTCCTGGCCCCAGACCGCCTGGTGGAAAAGGAGATCGGAGGCAACAAAGTCACCTGCAGAGACCTCCTGGAGTACTTCAAGGTCCTGCAAGATTTTATTAAAACCAACAAAAAAAGACAAACAAAAGCTTGAGGGTGCATAAACAGCACAAAATTGTTTCGGGTGTTTTGCCACAGTACATGTCAACAATGTCCCGTAGATAAAAAGAAAAAACAATCCAAGTTTAGTCGCTGCACGGACACACAACACGTGTACGATATGTCCCCCAGGCTGTTGACTTCCTGTGTCATCTTCATTGTTCAGGAATCACTGGTGTGATAAACTGTATTATTTTCCATTCCTGCAGGCTTACATAAAGATCTACCAAGGGGAGGAACTGCCTCACCCGAAGTCCATGCTGCAGGTTAGTCGCCGTCTGAGGGATCCTATCAAGTACGGCTCACACTTTTTGTTTTTTATCTTGAACCTCATCGTCTTCTCCTGTTTGTCAGGCGACAGCAGAAGCCAACAACTTGACAGCTGTGGCAGGAGCCAAGGACATGTACGGCAAGAACATGGAGCTGGTGAGCACGTGTTTATCTTTCAGTCGTCATGAGTTATCATCGGAGGGGGGAGGTGTTATGTTTACAAGCAGCTTGTGGCACACTAACGGGAGTCATTTTAATTATTTAAGCTCTAATAAAAATCTTCCAAAATGGGCCCTAATGCCCGTGCAGCTGGAGTCGTCTTCATCTCTTCCTCCATCGTTTTCAGGTCTGCGGCGGGGACAAGCCGTACATCGCCCCGGCCGACCTGGAGCGCTGCCACGAGGAGTTCCTCGAGCACTCGGTGCGTCACTTCTGCTCCGTGAAGAAAATGGGCGGAGCCGAGTTCTGCCAGCGCTACCAGAACCAGCTCGAGTCCGAGCTGGGCGAGGCCTACGCCAACTTCTCGAAGCACAATGACGGCAAGAACATCTTCTACACGGCGCGCACGCCCGCCACGCTTTTCGCCGTCATGTTTGTCACCTACGTGGTGTCCGGGCTGACGGGCTTCATCGGCCTGAGCACCTTGGCGTCGCTGGCTAACCTGATCATGGGCGTGGCGCTGCTGTCGCTCTGCGCCTGGGCCTATGTGAAGTACTCTGGAGAGTTTCGGGAGGTGGGGACGCTGATAGATCTGGTGGCCGAGACAATCTGGGAACAGGTGGGTCCTGTGTGTGTGTGTGTGTGTGTGTGTGTGTGTGTGTGTGTGTGTGTGTCCACCAAGAACAGTTATTGTGTGGCAGGAAATGGGTGGAATTTGGTTTGAATGGTAAGTTGGCATATAGGTATTTTGAGTTATATCCGGTACTTTAAGCTACAACTGATACACTTTAACATCAATGTTTTTCAACAGAAAAGGTCTGTAAATAGGAAATGTGTCGGATATCAAACCATAAATAATCTTCTGTAATCACATATTGCACTTCAGAAATGCCAAAGATATATAAGTTTGTATAACAGACAAAATGTCCATGACATTAGGTCTCAAACTAAGTTAAAGTCTAAGAGTATCTAATGTCAAAGCCCACAGTGATGTCTTCAGGTTGTCACTGAGCAACAAATCATCACATTTCAGAAGCTGGAAGCAAATCTTCCTTTGTGCTTGATGGGTAATTCAAATTATTAATCAGTTATAATAAAATAGTTGGCAATCCTCTTGGTGGTGGACTTGTTTGTTACAGAGTTTGTCGACCAGAGAGCACTGACGAAGATGTCCCATTCAAAACGTATACTTCCTGGTTATGGCCATTTAGCAGCTAATATATTGTTGTTTATTTTACTATTGTTGTCAAAGCTTAAGACAAGATTCACATTACGTTTTTAAGTGATTGACATTTTAATCGCATTTTCTTTTCTCCAAATGAATACAAATATAAAGTGTTTTATTTAGTGTTCCTGCCGGTGGTTTCTGTTGTAGTTTAGTTTCTGTGGTTTAAAAAGGGAAACAAGAATCCTTCCATCAGTTTTAATTTAAATTCCTTCTGTCCGCTGCATGTTTATGATTGTCTTCACATTCGTCTCACGAACTCTTAAATCACCTTCCAGCGCTCCGTCCACACTGAAACTCCATCAGCAGCCTCTGTTATTTGCTCCATCGGTTGTTGTCCTGCAGACTCGGATATAGAGTCGGGGTGTTTCTGTGTTTATCTATTTAATCTAGTTTCATGAATGTTTGCGATTCAACACAGAGGCAGCCCTTGTGTCTCCTCTGACTTCTCCTTCCTTCCTCTGCTTCTGTGTCTCCTCCTCCCTCTCTGCTTCACAGAAGACAGTGAGAAAGGTGAGAGCTGTTGGTTCTCTGATCTTCTGTTCTCAACATCATTTCCTTTCCTTTTCCTTTCTCCACCTCCTGCGGCCGGTCTCCCTGTTTCTCTTTTGTTTTGTTTGTAAGGCTCAACATCTACCCAGTTTTCTCATCTTTTCATCTTTTCTTTTCTAACCTTCTTTATTTCTCCTGAATCTGGATCGATCTTTTTTTCTTTCCCCCTTCCTCTTCCTGTCAGTTCCTCGTTTTAACTCTCCCGTTCCTCCCTGCTGTCCTCTCAGGTGTTTTCCAAACTTTTGGAGCCTGTCGGGAGGCGCCTGGCTTGGCCCGTCTCTCTCCTCTCTTCATTCCCATCAGGAGCGCCGCTGGGCCTCGGAGCTCCGTCTGCTCTCAACAACAACTACAAGAAGATGAAGTAGCTGCCGGCCGGTGTTACAGACTGTCCATCTTCCTTTTTCATATCAAAACGTGTGCAGTTTGCTGGCTTCTTGATAGTTACTTTTCAGTCCAATGGTGCTGGATTCTTATACTTTAACGCGTGGACACTGACGGGCCAGACCCATCTCAGGATCTCAAAGACGTAACGCCGGCCCAAACGGTTGTTAATTATCTTGGATGATTGATTTCTGTTTATTTCAGTTGAAGAGGTTTTGTGAATCTTGGGTTTCTTTATTTTACTTTAAATGTTTTTCTTCCCTAACCTGCTTTCTTTCAGTTTCTTTGTCCCCTTTATGGATACTTTTGTCTTTTAGGCTAATTAACGTGGTTTGTTCTCACACAAATTCCTCTTTCTGTCTCTCCTCCTGCAGCTTTTGAAGCCACTAAGTGAACATTATATGGAAGACACCGTCAGACAGACGGTGGTTAACTCCATCAGAGCCAGCTTGACAGAACCGGGCTCGCAGCACACCAAGTTAAAGACTCACTGATGCAATTCCTCCTCATCTTCATCACCCTCCTGCCCACTCGCCCAATGTGTTCAATCCTAGAACTGTGGAACTAGTTCAACACCAAAGCTGACCCTCTTTTAACCCCCCCCCAAACATCCATCGTCACCCCATGGCTGCCCCCATCTTCATCTGCTGTGGACCTGCTCTTCATCGCCCCCCAGTGCCTCAGAGCAGGAACTGCATGTTCACGAGAGGACGGAGAGAAGCCGGTAACGTCGCCAAAACCGGACCTGAAGGACTGTCCTCTTCTCCAGTGTGCCATGCTGTGATAGATGTGTCTTTTATTGTAGGCTGTCACACACACACACACACACACACACACACACATATGCTGGTAGCGGACTGCACTCGCTTCAGGATTGAGCTGCAATTCAGGGAAAACTGACACCGCTGTGGGCAGCTGTTGTCACCAATGGATGCAAACTGAAACACTTTTCTGTGCATTTAATCGTCTTGTCTTACAAGTCAGAGCTCGGTTTACTTTCTCTTCAGCCTGTTAATGAACGTTTCCTACAAGCACAAGTGACTATCGACTAATGGTGAGGTGATTGTCGAGTCTGTTATATTTCAGTATAATCAGGAAATGGATTTTATTGATTTATGAATTGAAAGTAAATTGAAAATCCTGTCCTGGACGAGCTGGAGAGACATTTAACTTTTTATTTTCCAGTCCGTCTTCTACAAATCTGAACCGTGTAGAACGTTTCTTCTTCTTCTGACATGCTACGAGCTCAGCTGCCTGACTCCATTCATTCAGTTCCTCTCAATAAGTGTGGAAGGTTAACCCGGTACCATCATCCCACGCTGGGCTCAGGTTGCTTCTAGACGTCCGCACGTCTTTCCCTTTAATATGTTGTGATTGTAATGGTGAAGAGAACTGTAGGAAGCCTCGAGCTTTGAAGTGTTTTTTTAAATTAGGACTAATGTTTTATCTGGCCTTCAGTGTTTGGCCCTCTGCATGGTGTTAAGAGCTACTGTGTCGTAGCATTAAACTAGCTAATGGCTTTTACAGCCACGGTGTCTGTAGTTAAGTAGCCAGGGAGGACTTTCATGTTGAACCATTTTCTCTTCCACTGCATTTTTTTTTTTTTTTTTTTTTTTTTTTTTTTTAAAGCTGCACTAGAAGGTTTCCCTCACAGGTTTAAGACTTTGATTCTTGATTTTAGGAGCCTTATTTAGTTGGAGCTCAAACTCCTATTACATCTTTTAATGGGTTAGTTAAACATTTTGGAAAATACGCTCATTTGCTTTCTTGAGTCAGTTAAATTTATATCATCTCTGTAGGCTGAATATACAGCCAGCAGGGGGAACAGCCTAAAGCAGCAGCAGCTTAAAAGCTCAATAAACACGGAATATCTTGTTTGTTAAAGTCATACACGAACCAAAGTGCTGTTTGCCCCTTTTTCCAATCGTTATGCTAAGCTAACTGGCTCCAGCCTCATCTTCCTGTTTAACTCTGTAACAAAGTGAAACGGCGTATCTCCCAAAACTGTTGAGCTGTTTTCTCTCTGAGCTTTCTCTTTTTGTTGATTCCATCCACATTATTTCTCACCTCAGTCTCACACTGTACAGTCTCTTCTTCTGTGATCACATACGCAAATCGGGCATGTTGTTGGATTCAATATTTAAATAAACTTTGTATACATTTTATAGTGAATCAGTTGACAATTTGCTGTTTTCTTGCTCAACTTAACAGTCTGGTTTGTTTAAGAATAAGTTGCTGCTGTAGGGTTTACGTTAGTTTACATCCGTTTCATGAGGATGCATGTTAATAGAAACACGTGGTGTGAATATTTGGATTCTGATAGGAAAATCTTTTGATTGTGACGAGTGGGTCGGAGACAATGTATTGTCTGCCTTTTAAAGATATCTCCGGTAATTTATTTTTGAATAAATCATCAATTCAATTCTCGTGGCTCCTTTTTTGTCTTTATTTTAGGGGATTGTTTCTGGGGAAAAGAATCGTGTTAAACAAACGGCCAAAAAAGCAATTTTAACCTTTTAGCTGTACAGTTTTTCTCTATTAACACAATTCTCAAGATCTATGCCTCTTGTCTCTAAACCAGCTCTTCAGAATACCAAACCCTGCAGGAGAAAACTGTCATGGGAAATCTAAGTCTAATATTTAGAACAGTGTTACTGTAAAGTAGCACTAATGCTCTCTGAGCAGAGTGGCTCAATCAGTGGCCTTGTTTCATAAAGGTCATGGAGAAGTTGCCAAGATGAGCTGCATGTTTGTGCCGAACACTGAGGCGTTTTCATGGACAGTTAACTTCATTATTCACTCACAGCTGGGGAACGCAGACAATTTAAACCGCACATTCATGAATTACAAAATGAGCCGCTGGTGTCCAGATGTTCAGAAATAACTTCATCTCCAGCTCTTTCTGACCTCAGCTGCTGCGATGTCGAGCAGTTTATTTCCATAAATGACCAACAGGAGGAGCCACATTCTTAAAAATAGTTTTATTTGATCACAGAACTGTTTTAAGCTGCAAAATATGTAACATTTTAATGGTCCATAACTCCCATACCAACCAAAGTATGGAAGAACAGACCAATGTTGTGCTTATAAACAAACATTTAGGATGTACACAGCTGGCTTTATGACTAGTGTACATCTAAAGCAAACTTCAAACAAAAAGCATCAAAAAGGCCACAAAAATATACCAGACCGGCATCAAAGCCCTTTATCTCCGCCGCATTCAGAACACTATCTCGGCTACAGCCAAGTGGTAAAGTTTGAAAAACATACTAAACTCTACTTCTGATACAAAACTTATCTTACATGAAAATGGGTTTAAATGAGAAATGTCACAGGCTCGAGAAAAACCCAAGAATGAGATTAAAAAGTCTCCTAATCTCATTTACACATGGCACATTTCACGATACTGATAATGGCATATTCTTTTTGCTGCGATCAATAATACATTGGAGCAAAATGTAACCGGAAGACATAGTGACAGTACAACTTCAACATGTGGACAGAAAATGTGACTTGTGTTTTCAGATAAACCAAATAGACCCATGCTGCTGCAACATCCTCTAAACTACAGACACCCCCCTCTAAGAGATGAACATTCAGCCGATAGTGGACCAGATTATTGATTAAAACCTCGTCTTTAGGTTTCAGTCCGTCCTTACATTCTTTGAGAATTTACTGATCTGTTATGAGTGAGTTTACAAAACACAAAGTGGTTTACACACACACACACACACACACACACACACACACACACACACACAGTTTGATGGGTCGTGGGCTCCCTTCAAAGTTCATCATTTCCCATGTTGTCTTCTTGTATTTGGCTTGATCAGAGTTAAAAAGCTGCAACAGTCCAGAGTGAAGTCATTCAAAAAAAAAAAATATATATATAACACGTTGCGGATCAGTTAAACATAATTAATACATAAACTGACAGGTTTATGTAGACGAGCCGAACACCAGAATCTAAGAGCCTCATTTATAAAAACAAAAACTTTATTTACACACCATCATAACTGAATGTGACCGTTTCAAAGAAAGTGTAAGATGTTTAACTTTACTTCACATAAAAACATCGTTTTATCATTTTTTAAATCATTTTTTGCATTAGAATATTTTATGAAGGAGGCTCTAGGATACTACGTGTACAGTCCGTCTTCATTAACTCTGTCTGGGCTCAAGACTTGTGATATCTGGGGAAATTTAAAACACCTCGGAGAATCTCTGCCGTCGTTTCCACGATGAGTTTTGGTTTTGATTCGCTTGTCTAGTTGCACTCTGAACTCTTCAAATCATCTCAGAGAAACAAGCCGTTTTGACCAATGGCTGCTGAGTTTGGAAGAACACTAAATATTCAGTAGCATATTTTAGCTTATATTGTTGCTGAGATGGCTGGATGAGTCGAGTCTCTACTGTACACTTGAGAGGACTTAGGTCCTCTAGTCTTCTGGTCTGCTGTGCCGTCTCCACTCGGTCGGAGATAGTTGACAGGTCGAGTGTTTGACGGCGTCGTGGTCTAATCTACGTCTACTGAAGGGTCTGCTGGAGGTTTTAGATCATGGCCCGGAAAGCAAAGGAGACTCCAGCGCCCAGCGCCAAGCCGAGGGACAAGAAGAAGGCCATGATGGCCCCCGCCGTCTCCGCCTCATGCAGTGGCACCTTCCTGTACAGAGACAAGAGAGGGACAAAACTCATTAGGAAGGAAAACACAATGGTGTTCTACACACGGTGTCAATTCATCCTGTTCTGTGTTTTATCTTGTTGCAAGACAAACGTCTCCTTTGGGGATTTGAAACATGATCACTCATGTCTGTATGGCAAGTAAGGTGCTACTGCCCAAAGTGGGTTAGCTTAGCTTAGCATAGCTGAATGCATGGAAAACTGCTAAACTGGCTGTGCATTGGCCAGCACCCCTAAAGCTCTGTCATCTTCATTTAATTATACACAAACGAATATAAAAACAACAGTTTGTGGTTTTATATCCTTATAAGCTGTAATTATATAATAAAAATGAAATATCTTCCTCTTAATCCACCAATTATTCGGTCTCAATCTTCTCAACCAATACTCTGAAAGAATCTATCAAACCTGACTCTGGTCATTCTAAGTGTACCGTCTGGATGTGTGCGTTTCTTACTTGGGTCCAAAGCACATGCAGAGACTGGCCAGGTATCCGTTGGAGAAGGAGAAGACGATCATGAAGATGATGTACAGGGCGTCGTGGCTAAACACCACGGGGAGGTAGTAACGAGGCTGGACGTTACACAGCATGAAGAGAGGGATGAAGATGACCCGCAGGCCCACCATGACAGGAAGCCATCTGCTGTCTTTACCCGGCTGGAGGGAGGGAGAAAGGGACAGACTTAACAACACTTTAACATACTTCTGGGTGCTTCCTTAGCCTGATTTACATCTACGCATGTGTGTATGTGCAGATTACTATGGGTGCTCTGGTGCTTAAGTTGGAGAAACACGGACAAAGCTGTATAAAGACAACAGTTTAAAGGACCGTGAGTCACAAAGCATCTCAGAAGAAGCGGTTCCAGGTCCTGATCAGTGTCGTCTAATGATGGTAAATAAACTTGCTCTAATAAGCTGCATTCCAGTGCAGGTCAGACTGGGTTAACCAACTGTACTCACTTTGTACAGAATGAATTGATTCAATTTGATCACTTCCTCTGGATCTCAAAGAATAAGACTCGTTTATAGATCTATGTTTTTCTTGGACAAAGTTTTAAGAGATCTTTGCTTGGAAAGAAGCGAACATTTGACGGACAAAAGAGGGAAAAAAAACATTCAAACCAACTGGTGAATAAAACACATGACAACAGGCGTTATTATGAGCCTAAACAATCTATTAAGGCTTGTAGCAGCATAAAACATAAAACATAAAACAAACCGGCGATCTCAGGAACAAAACTTGTCTCCTTTATTTTCCCCCCAAACCCTTAGTGACTGATGTTCTTCCACTCACGACAGCGATTTATTCATGTGTAAACATTGTACGCAGCCAAAAGCTTCTATTTAAGTGCGTCTGTTCTCCGTAGCGCCATTCGCCTGACAGACAACAGCAGATCACACTAAATATTGTGATGTGGTCATTATAAATGGACTCTATAAGGCAAACGTGTATAAACTAGAGAGATATTTCTCAATTGATTTGTTGATGGGGCTGCTTGAGGTAGCAAAGTTCACGTATTAGTCACTGTCATTACTACAAACTGGTACATTTTGAAATATGCTTCAGTAGTATTTTACAGTATTAGCAGTTTTTAGGGGCAGCATACATAAAAGGAAGCTGTAGGTCCGCCTGAGACTACCAGACAGTCGCCTGGATAGATCCACTGATGGAGCTCTGAAGCCAGAGAAAGGGAAGAGGAAGCCCAAACCTACAGAGAAGGTGGGAAAGGTGGAGCCTCGTCGGTAAAACGTGTGTTACGTGTGTTTTAGTGTTACTGACCCACATGCAGACGGCCGTCAGACTCCTGCCAGCCCAGTCCATCAGGTTGAAGAGGAGGAAACACGACACAGGGATGAAGTAGTTTTCTGAAAAGGGAGCAAGACAAACAAGCCGTTACTAACAACAAAGATACTGCAGAGGTCTTTCCTTGACAGAAAACCCTCAACCTCGGTGGGCTTAGAAAGCACAGAAAGTATCAAATCATTCTCACAAACGTTTTAAACTTCTTTGGTGTTTTGTTATTTATTTTTTTCGCTGTGACTCCAAACTGATAACAGCTTTCTGTGCACAATGAAGGACAACGAGCTGCACTGCAAGCCAACAGGGAAGAGAGATTTCACAAAAGACAGATCCTCTGTGGAGTAATCCTTTAAAGGAGATACCAATTTAAAGATACTAGATACTAAAACTAATTTCTATATTTTCACAGGCTGCGCTCATGTTCATAAATAAAGGCTTGTCCACTGCACTTTCAATATAAACTACATATATCTGCATAGACAGCAGCAGTTAAGGCTGATTTAGTCATCCCTCTCAAATGTCTCTATCTACGGCAGCAGTGTAGCTTTGTATAGATGTTAGAAATGGAGACTCACCCCAGGTGCCCCCATCTGCTACCGTCGACTTGACCTCCACTGTTACGGCCGGGAAAATTCCAATGGTGACGGTGAAGATGAAGCACACCGACAGAGCCATCACCCAGATCTGAAGAGCACAAGACGATCATAATCAATATTTAGGTAACTATGTTGATCTCTGTCGAACAGGAAGAGGGTGGATGAAATGCATGAAGAGGTCACTAGAATGAAGCTAGATCTAACTGGTGATGCTGAATGGCAGCTAGTTATTACTGCCCAATCAAACAGCCAGAGGTGATGTTTTGAATGCTAAGAATGTGTCACAGCAGACATATCTACTTTTTTGGCATTCATTAATTTGCCTTTATACATCACAATGTGAAGAAGTCATTTCACCTGTTTGAAGATGTTTATCACCGACACGGTGGGCTTGGCCTCGTCCTCCACCAGACTGACCACCGGTCGCTTCTCTGCTGGGCTTTCTGAGAAACAACACAAACAAACACCTCTCTATCGTTACATTGGTCAAGCGACACATGGGAGTAAACGCCGTCGTTCCCACATTTGAGTGGGTGTACGCACGAGACTTTAATTGTTCTGTAACACCAGGTTCCCATTACGTTCGCACACACTAGTAATTAACAGCACAGACTGGTCGAGCTGTCGCCAAAACACAAATGTGAAACACTTTCAGCGGGTTTGGCTTCCTGGTCAGTGTGTAGTAAAGAGACCTTTGGGTGTAAAGGAGACACTAAGGCTACAAATCGATCAGAAAGAAATCCAAATGTGATGTCTGACACAAAGTGACTCATGATTAATATTAGTGGTGTCACGGATCACGGATCACTCGTGAACCGCGGATCAATCAAGTATTTTTTTCTTTTTTTACTCTTTAATCATCATCGTGTGTAATACAGTTTTACTGCTGCTTTTCCTTTTCAAGTAACAAGTCCCCGAATATCAATGCAGAGTGTCAGTGAACAGATATAAAGCAGTAGTGTGTTCACGTGAACGGAGCAGGTTAAAAGCATTTAACGGCGAAGTTCATGGCGAGCGCAGGAACGTCAGAAGCCGCGGCGTTTATTTAAGTCGCAAGTTTGGGAGCATTTTGTCTTCCCTGTAACCTATAATGACGGATGAGGGTGGTGGACGAAACCATTACCGTATGGAGGCATTATTTAAAGAGAAAGACACGATAACGGCAATACATTGGTATGTCCACACATATGAAGAGCCACCATCCGGTCTGTTAGCGAAGGGGGACACTCCGTTGTAGAAAACAAAGGATTTCTAAATCTGGTTAAAATGCTTGAGCCACGCTACAAAATCCACTCACGCACCCACTTCAGCATGAAGCTTGTTCCAGGCCTCTATGAAAAGGAAAAGACTGTAGAGACCGCTTTCACCACGGCGGAGTGATTCATAGTCCGGTGCTGTAGACGCCCCCTCTGTGAGAGTCACACAGACACACATCTGGGGCAGGTGCTGACAGAACTATCAGAGTGGAAGCTAGACAGGCCCAATAATATCCCAGTCACCACAGAAAGGTCTACCCTCTCCCCAGACAATGGAGATATTCTCATATTTTTGAAAATAATGTCACAGTAATGGTAAATATTATGTCAGTGTATTTGAATGACATAACCTGACAGGAAGTAAACATAGACCCAAGTTGTTGCCGGGCAGTTCAGTGTAAACAGTGGAAGCTAGCTCACTGGCTGATTCTTTCTTTCAATATTGATCAAAGGACGAGGATATCAACATACCTCATGTTGCACTTAAACAGAATTCTTGAATGTATTATTTTTATTTATTCATTTCATTTTGTTTCAAATTGGACATCTTCAAGTTCTTTGCTTTAAGTGTTCTTGAAGTTCTTTAATTAATAAATGGAAAGCAAAGTTATATTTGTCTCCTCCCCTTTTCTTTGTTGATCCGAAAAATGATCCGAACCGTGACTCCTGAACCGAACCGTGAGGTTTGTGATCCGTGACACCCCTAATTAATATCAGAGCGTTATCCATCACATCAAACTGAGAGACAGAAAATACAAAACTGATGGCCATAACATAAACATGGTGTTATTATGTTAACCTGTGTTCATGTTGAGGACGTCATTCAAAGAACACGTCCATAATTGTTAACTTTTGGATTACGTACCTTTTGTGTGTACGTCCATATTGTTCTCCTCATCAGCAGAGGGTGAGGATCCATTACTCTCCATGTAGAACTGGAAAAACTCCTGTTAAGAAAAACCATAATGAGGCGAGTCCACCGAGCCAGAGTAGAGCAGAGAGAAAAGGATACAGGGACCACATTGTGGTCTCTGAGCTTCTGCTAATCCTCACTGGCAGATGTATTAGCCATCACCTCCACAAGGAGTGGAGTGTGGACTGGTTTAACATTTTAAAAAAAGATGCAACTACAGACAGCACTGAATCTAAACGCATGCAGCACTTATCTTAAGCTAAGGAGGTATTTTTTCCAAAAAGGTACAAAGTTAATGAGAGCAGAAATGGGCACAAAAACATTTGAAAGTGGTTTAAAACAAATGATTTCTAGTTCTTTTAAGCATGTGGTATTGAACACTGTGAGGTCTTACCATCCTGGGCAGCACAATGTAAGACATTATGGCCAGAAGAATGACCACACAGGCTGTGATGAAGTAACCAAAGGCGCTGTCCTGCAGGGCCGATCCAGCTACACACAAACACAACACACACAACAATCATCAGCGGTTTGCTTCATATCGGTATTGATCTAGAGCAAATGTTTCTCATAGTGTTAGTATTCCTCAATTCAAATGTATTAGACTAACCCACAAGTAAAAAATGTGCTTTAAAACCTCAAGAAATATCTGTATGTTGTCAAATCCCAATGGCAACATAATACTGAAGCTAATAATGAAATAGGTAAACCATTCTCACTTCCCATAATTCACCCTCAGCAGCTAACGTCAGCACAGCCACATGGACTGGGGAGACATTCCTCAATGCAGTCTGCTGTGGTTGGATTTCTTTTGGTGAGAAACTGAACAAGCACATCTGACAGAAACAATCCTGAGTGGCAGAAGAACTTCCAAGCATCTAATTGTGTTTTCTGTCTAGCAGATCAAATACAAAGCGCAGCCACCAACATTTGTTAATCTCTTAACATCTGGCTTTTACCAAATCATTTAACACATTTAATATGTAACAATATTTGGGTGTGGATGTGTGTCTCAAACTTTCAACTAAAAGCAGAAGTAAAGTTAGTAACTAGCAAGTTTTACTTTCTGTCACTATTTTATTAGAAGTTAGAAGTTGTGCAAGACATGGAAAGACATATTTCTCGAAATGGCATTGCAGTAGACGGGGATTGTGCAACAAAACATTAAACTCGTCTTGCTTCAGCGGTATCTCCTAAAACGTTAATGTACAGCAAAGTGTTTTTGTCGTTTTGTCCACCTCTTGTGTATCCTCACTTCTAATGACAGAAGAAGAAGTGTACTTTGTGTGTGTGAGACATACTGGCCAGTGCGCAGATCATGGAGAAAGCGGCGAAGGTGCCGGCCAGCCCCTGTCCACTCATGATGGGGGTGGTGTAGGAGGCGGGCAGTATTCCTGCCAGGCCGAACAGACTGCCCTGAAGAATCGCCCCGAATGCTGGGAACAAGACCAGGAAGTTCAATCAGTAAACGTTAAAGAGCCGCTGGGACACAGGAAGAAACACACTGACCCACAGCAATAGAACAAAAGTCACAAACGGGGAGATGACATCCTTTCCGAAAACAACATCGAGCAAATTAATTGTTTTACAGAACTGTTATATAACTATTGTCTTTCTCTCACTTCACACAGAGTTGAAGCCAATAAGGCGACTCGCATCACACCGATCGTTAACAACCATTCATACAGCGACTTTGGAGCTTAATTAGCTGCAGAGATGTTTCCACTAAGAGGAATGTACAGACGTCTATATCAAAGCTTACAGGTCAGAATGTCCTCCACTCTAAGTCAAACAAGATGGGCTGTTCCTCATGAAGACCTGCGGGACAGGACCGGCCCAACGGGGATACGGAGGGGGGTGAGCTTATCCCTGCTGCTCAGTGGGTCATTGTAAATAAACAAACAGCAGAGAGATTACAGACTGTGTTCTGAAGCTCAGTGTGATATGAGATAATGTGTGTGTGTGTGTGTGTGTGTGTGGACCCGAAGGAAAGAGATTTTCCCAACACACTGAATGCAGATGATGTTGATCAAAGAAGACGACACATTGTGGAAATGAGATAAAAGTCAATCATTGAGTAACAAAGTCAAATACAACAGCCCTGCAACAAATGCTTCCTCTGTGATATAATGTCCAGTTAACTGCATTTTGTTCTGTGATTGGTTGATCATTGTGATCAAGGTTTCAGCTTTCTTTTGGACTTTCCCTTCAGCGACTACAGATGATGTAATGATCATCAGTTGTGCATTTAGAAACTCACAGTTGATGCAGATAATTTTGATCATGGTGATGGTGAAGAAGGTCAGCGGGGCCACGTCCACCTTGACGAACACCGCCGTCAACAGGAAAACCACCAGGATGACCACGAGGCTACCGATGATCCGAAGCTTCTGAGGAATCCTGAGAGTGAAAGCAACACGGAGAAAATACATTTGAACACGACTACTAATCAAGAACATTAGCCAGATCCATTTTGGACACTTTAAGAATGAATAAAAAATATATATATGTTAAAAAAAGTTGGGTAAATCCAACAAATATGCAGCTACTTATTTGTCAACACACAATAGAAAAGTGTTTGGTGAGAATATAATATGGACGTGTTGTTTATGAACATAAGTAAAAACAAACATTTTCTGATGACATTGGAAAGGGGTCATTGCTCTTCCGGTGAAGTTGAGGTCCTTTCTGACATCTGCCTTATGACTACAGATGAAAAATAGCCTCTTGGCTAACTCTGGCGCATTTACAGCAATGTTTTTACTAATGTGCACTGTCCCTTATCAAATAAACCAATACAACTAATTCAAAAAAGAGTTCAAGAAAGTGAACAATTGAGTGAGTTGGGCTGTAATGTCAGAATGAGCAGCCCAGGAAAAAAAGAGGGAGAAAAAAGAGAAAAGGTCTGCAGGAATAAAGTATAGTGAGAAAGTGAGGGACAGCAGGAGGAAAAGAACAAAAAGAGGTGAAGAAGAAAAGGGGGTCAGGGGGGTAGTAGAGAACATAAATAGCATTCCTGGGTGTGTTTGTATAGGGGCATGGTCAGCCGTGGTCAGGGTCCACCCAAGATCTCGCTCAATCCCACTTTAATGAAAGAAAACACAGTGCAGGCATACGGACATGCATTCACATAACAGGATCATGTAACCTACATGTATGGTGGCATGTGGCGACCAAGGGGTACCGATAAGCAGGAGGCAGAGAGAGCGGGAAACCAAAAAGGTTCGTCCTCTGAATGTCTCGTGTTACCAGATTTCATATGTTGTCCTCGAGGGGTTTAACTAGCTGCTTCCTGCGAGCAGTGAAGTGTACATAGTAGATACAGGAAATGACCAAAGATCTACACGGAGCGGGGTGGATACCTCTGGTGAAGGAAGGAGTTGAGGCAGGTGAAGATTAGCAGCGGCACCATGGCGCAAAGCGTCATCACGTTGTTGAACTTTGACTCCAGCACGTTGTGAGTATCTCCGTCCTCCGAGGTCTCGTTGGTCGCCTGATGGGAGGAGATGTCCGCTGATGGGTCCTTCAGCCTGCTTGTGAAGTACTAAAGAAGAGGATGGAGGGACGCATAGTTACTACGATGGTTATCAGCTACTGCGACTCAACAACAGTGAATGATAATTCATTCGGTATGGAGTCACAAGTTTGAGTCATAGGACTGTAATTTGCAGGAATGTAAGTGGCATCATAATCTAGAACCTTTATTTTCTGAAACATTGCAGGAAGATAAAGCCATCTATTAATTACAGATTCCCAAAAGGTCAATACTGAGAGGCGTTTAGGAACACTAAGAAAACGTAAGAAAATGCAATTCTTGAATCAACGACTCTCTTAAACAACTGAATGGTAAAGGGCTTCTTATTTATCAAAGTGGCATTCAAACTTTTCATTCATCAAAACAAACAAGTATAAACTATTTGAGCTTCAATTAAACAATCCCCCAAAGGGCGGGTTAACCCCTCCAGGACGATGACCTGAAATTCCACATTTTAAGAAGTTAAGTTGTTAGGTAAACAAAACAAAAACATTTGTTTTCCTAAAGTGAGTTGACCTTCTTCTAAGTGGAGCCCAACCTTTTAATTGACTAATGACCAACCACACGGCCACCAACCGGCCTCTTCCTTTCACAACCATCCGTCTGTTGTTCTGAGGATTAACTGCGTTTGGGTGCAAGTATCGTCACATCCAGAAGAATAAAAATGCCCTAAAATGTTTCCTAACTTACCATCGTCGCCGTCATGAAGAAATTCCAGGGTAAGAGGGTTCCCAAGCCCAGGATGAAGAAAATGATCCATACTGCATTGTATCTGTGAAAGAGGCAAAAGGAAGTTCACACGAAAGTACATCAGTGAAGTCACTTAACATCAACAAGTTATTTATTTACTGGGTCTCATCCAAAAGAAATGTTCCACATACTGAAACTAAAACAGAAACTGAGAGCAGCATATTGACATTAATAAGTGTCTGATAGACTCTTATAACAGTTTGGTTCCCTTTAAAACAGTTTCTCTTACTTGTCCCGCGGTGCGTTGATGGCCGTCATGTTTGTTGTTAGACAGTTAGAGGCTCGTGCTCGGTCAGGCTTTGATCAGGGTGGCACCAGGTCTGAAAGACACAGATAACACACTCATGTTTCCAACGCGGTAAACATTCAGAGTCTGGCAGCACCTACATTTTTTATCAGCAGCAGCCATAAGTCGCCCCCCTTTCTATATTTAGCTTATTAATGAGCCAGACAATCTGTGACCAACACAGCAATTAAATAATGGGTTGCAAAATGTTATTTAAACAGTAAAAAAAATACAATAAAACAATTCAGTTGTCAGGTTTAGGCAGCACGCCAGCACCAGTGGAAGAAAAACAACAAGGAGTGGTTCAATGCTCAAGCAAACAAAATTCAAAAAGATCTTTGCCGCTTGATGGTAAAGTTGCATAACGTTTGTGAAACTCACAAGACATCCCATCGGTCAGAGACACGCTTCCCCTCACACAGCATTCCTCATATACAGTATGTGCTACAAAGGACTAAATAAATGCAGAAACGTCACCATTTTCTGCCCCCATTAACCCTTTAAAGAAAACCTTTAATAAACATACTTAGAGCAGAGTTAAACCAGGAACAAAAGACTCCTCTCCTCTGACCAGATGCACAACTAAAGCGACGGCCTCATTTTATACCATGCAGAGGTTTAGTAGGTTGACACCCCACTGTCAGCAGCCCATTGGACCCGCTCCTCTATGCATCTCAGTGTCCATCCCTCCGTCTTCTCTTCACCTCAAACTCCCGTTCTCCTCAACCCTTCCAACACGCTTTTACGCTCTTCGGCATTTAGACGTCAACTTCTAGATTCATAGAATTCAAGTAAATAGTGTAATAATCCTGAGAACAATCGTGCAAAAATGTGAAGGATTTTTTAATTTTTTATTCTGTTGTTGCACAATGTTCTCGAGGGTGTTGCCTTTCACAATCCAAACTGTTCTGTCTATTGCTCAATCTAATCTCTCAATAAATGTCTTGGCTCATTTTATCTGCTGTTGCTCCACTGGCTTGTATTGTGCAACTCGTATTTTCGTATTCCTATTTTCTCCAATTCACTTTTATTACCTCCCATCACTCCTCTTTTCTATATTCCTGCTCTTGTCTCCACCCTCAACGTATCCGACCCCCCCCCGTCCCGTCCTGGCATCTTCTCCCCTGGACCTGATGGAATCCATGCGCTCAGATAGCTTTGTGACACCTTCTCCAAACAGAACAACTTTTCTTCAAGACACTTCCTCTTCAAACGAACACAGAGCTATTTGGCATCAAATCAAGCTAAACAATGCAAGGCAAAGTTAAGTTGTTTTTAGTAAATACATGAATCATGAGCACTTTAAACGCAACAGCTCTCAATGAAATGCACCAATTGATCGGCTCAGGGCATCTGTACCCTAAAAACTAATTAAACGTTAAAAACCTTTTTAATACCTCTAAAAAGGAAAAATATAATACCATTGATGCAGATGGGCATCGGTTCAGAGGACTGAAAATACATTGCGACACAGCATGTTAAAAAACATCAGCAAAGCGGTCTGATTTGCACAAAAGAATTGCATCATTTCAATAGCCAATCACTGTTGAGCAATAGATGTTGGCAAGAGAAACCCTGCCTCCTTCATACATTAGGTACATACATCAAACAGTTTAACAGACGGTTGTCTCCCAAAGTGCACCGACTAGCTTCTTGTTGCTGACAGACGTCACATGATGAGTCCCATGTTTGATCTGGCAGGTCATGAGTTAGGACAGAAACTGCTTTACTGTACATGATGGGAGCCACACACACACTGTAGTCCATTATCATGCATCTACATTACACTGATTAAGGAGTCCGACTCTGAGAAACAGTCTGAGAGAAAGGTCTGTAGCCTGTTAGAGGGGACAAAAGCCCATCAGATACACTGCATTTGTTAAACTTGTAAGCTTGATTACATGGAAATGTATCACGAGATCAGGCATACACTGTGCGAGGTTAGGTTCTAGTTAGCCTCGGTTGGGTTCCCAGTTAGCCTAACCTTGGTTAGGTTAACTATCGGTGATATAATACTATAGTTACTATTTAACTATAGTATTATATCCTACTATAATACTATAGTTACTATTTAACTATAGTATTATATCCTACTATAGCAAGCTGATAGTAGGATATAAACCATACCATCAGCTTGCCACTGATAGCATGGTTTATAAATTTTTGCAAATTGGCAACACGAGGTTACAACACAAAAATAATAAAGATATGTTCAAGTTCATTAATAAACAGTGTCCTGTCCTTAAAAAGTTAATAGTGGGATATCAGATTTTTTTCTTTCTTCAAAAGTCAATATCGGTGTTGGTCTCAGTAATCAAGTATTAGGCATTCATTTATGGTTTTATTACCAGAAGAAGGAAAAACTTGACTTGAGACTCCGTCAGTTTAGCACTTAAGCCTCGACAATGCCTTAGTCCATTTTAAAATGCCATTTGAGAAACAAATAGCTAAATTTGTATTTCACACTTTGTCTCTTTTCCATTTCCCTCTCATTGTCATGACAGAGTCAAATCCTACAGCATCGTCCACACTTGATGAAAGCCAATGGTATTACAGACATACGAGTCTCAGTTTTAACACACTGGCTCAGCTATGTCCCAGATTTCTGTAAAGTAAAGTATGCCTTGCTCAACCTAACGTATCAAGACGAGCCAGCTGGCATGAGTTGCCGGGCGTTGAAAGGTTGCCCACCACACACACAGTCACTTTGCAGTCTGTAGAGTGGGACAAATCTCCAGTTTGGCATCAGGCTGACACTTTACCGAGCTGGCCTCTCAACGAAGTCCAACTCCAACAATCAGCTCTCCAATGGAAAAAGATTTAACGGGTAGACAGTTATTTATCGTTTCCTCCTCTGATGTCAAGGAAAAAAATATGGTTCCAAATCTTGCCAAAGAGGGCCAGTCCAGACTAGTCCGATCGCCATGGTCACACAATGGTGTGCAAAATTTTAATGATGCAACTTAAAAACCTGGTCACTTAGTGTTTAAATTTGCTACATGTATATGTCCGGCATGAGTCTTCTTCTTACAAGACATCAAGACTTCCACAAGCCTCTGCTGATGGTTATTGCACTGTAATCCATGGAGCCATGACACAATACTCCAAGTATCAGTATTAAAACACATTTTATTATCATCAGGTTGGCTTTCCATTCTGTGTTAAAAATGAATGACTTTCATTTTCTTTTTCGTGACACCAAAAACCTCCCGAATATGGAAGGGGCTCTCTCGTACAGGAACAAGAACATCTCCAGTTTCTCTTATACAGGACGATTATTTGGGCCGCTTCTAACGACTTGGACATCAGATGTTTGATCTCTCCATAAGCAGGGAATCTGCACACTGTGGACCTCCTGCACATCACACCCTCCCAGTGGAGCCCATTGCCGTCAGGTGAAGAGAAGCGTCTGGTAACCCATGTATGGTAACGCGTTTCTAGGGATTTTGGCTTCATACGAATATGGAAAAAACCGCCATATTCTGTTTCGCAATGATGCTCTCTTTTTGTTTTGTGTTATAAATCCAGCAGACTTCAGGGATTGGAGTGCACATGGAAGTGGACATAACCAAGTGCGACAAAACAGGAAAATAAAAAATGTAAGTAAAACAGAATTTAGCAGTTTCAGGTGTGACCTATATCTTAACAGAAAAGGACAAGAGTGCATTTTTCTCATCTCACCAGCATACCTCTCTAACTGGGTCGCCTTTATTCCCAGGCTGACACAAAGAATAGTTTGATGGTGGTCATATGATGAGGCGAAGCAAGAATTAACCCTCCCCCCCGAGGTCCTTTCCCAGCGCTTATAGAAGGGGAACACTCGCACAACGTCTACTCTGCCCAGCATTACACTGGAATGTCATTGTAGGATGCAACCAGGGTGAATGGCATTTCTTTTTACATGAATGGTGAAAATTAGCAAAAGGCATGGCAACCTCATGCCAACGGATGCCGTTGTTAGTATGGAGAAGGTGTCACAATCAGGCTTTTGCCTTATGTGTTCTGCGTGTGTTTTTCGGTAGCTCCTCACTCTTCAACTCAGTCACTCCCTCAGCACCAGTCCAAACTCCCTTCACCTGTCCCTTATCTGTAATCAAGCACTCCCTCATCAGCACAACTCTCCTCACCTGTTCTAGTCACTATTTAAACCCCTGTCTTTCACTCACTCACTGCCAGGTCATTGTTTTTCGACTATCTACCCGCCCGTGTTGCTCGTCCTGTTCCCGGTTTCCCAGTCTGCCTGTTCAGTCTTATCCTTGGATTCCCGTTTGTTTTTTGGTTTGTGCATTAAACCTATTTTCCACTTCCCCTGACTGTCTGCTCCTGAGTCCTCATTATGTCCCGTGACAGAAGGTCCTTAAATCCAAATTATATAGGATGTCATCTGGCTAAATAGAATGCAGTATAGATTAAATATCACCAAGTTACACCAGACATTAAAAAGCAAAACTCGAGAGTAAACAAAGGTAGCCTCTGGCCGACTCGCTGTTATCTCCACCTACGCCTTTCTCCCTGAAGCAGAAACAGCAGTGGTCTTTAGTACCATATGGTAGCGGTACGACAGCATTATATCCAACGGATTTTGCCTCACAACTTTCACCACATGCATAATGTCACATGCAGGCTGACTCACTACACTGCACAGCATACTGCGGTCTGCCCACCCTGATCCGACCTCACGGACCCCCCGCCCCCGCCAAAAGCTGATTTAGGACTGTTTGTGGACGGTTCGGCCTCCCGCTCGCCGGACACGAGAGAGCGGTGACATCTTAGCTTCAACCAAAAAGGGAATACGCCTGCTGGGGGGGGGGGGGGGGGACGAGAGACAATGTGCAGCTAGAAGAAGCAGTTCTGTTTGTGAAAAGCATATATATAGCTCTGACCATTCAGCTGATTTATTGTAAGTGTCTGTTCAATAAAAGACATTTGAGAGTTTCACATCACATTTATTTCTCACGGGGAAATTAAAAAGATTCATTTCAACCACACTGACAAGAGTTTCCAAATTCACACCATTCCTAGAATGACCAACCCACACACACACACACACACACACACACACACACAAACACACACACTTGTACATAAAATGCAGCTTGCTCAACAGCCTGAAAACATCCAAGAACCCATCACTGCGTTGCAGCACATTGCCTTTTACAGCCTTGATTCCCATTTCACACTGCGTTTCCTCCTGCTCTTCTTTCAAGGACAGTGCTACCGACTCTGTCATCTGGCAGTCTGAAGACAAGTTAAATATTCAGAACAACGCGAGTCTAACAACAGACCCAATATTAAAAATCTCCTAAAAAGAAGACATCACATCGTTGAGATAAGCTTGAGAAACTCCCCGGATGTCTGTTTTGGATCAAGAGTGAAAAATGAGCGACGGGAAAATATCAAGCTTTATTTATGGCTCTCTGTTGAGGTAATCCCAGTGTAGAAGCCTCTGGTGAAGAAATCAATCTATAGTTCAGCAAAGGATTTAAACATTTATTGTCCCAGAACAACTTGTACCTTGAGTCCGTACTGTAGTTTGCAGTGTAAATTAATTTCTTCAATCAACAGCAGCAATCGCACATCTACACCTACAAACACGGGTTTTAAATGCATCGTCAGTGTCACTGTGAGGCAATGTTCCACACACAAGAGAGGCATTTGAGTCACGCAGCAGGCCTCGGTTACACTGTGGGGACCCTAATGATTGACAAATCAAATTAACTCAAACAAACCTCCACCAACACCGACTGGACCTGGTGTCACAAATCCAATCACCACATACTACTCAGCTTGGCACACGTCGCTGTTCTCAAATCAGGTCTCTACCAGATTATGACGACACTGTTTTGATATTTCACCCGTATTAAACCGTTATGTACGTGTTATTGCTTCAAATAATCAAAAAAAAGTTTTCTCGGTGGAAAAAGTGAAACAACCTATAAGCACATCAAGGTGGCCAGCTGGAGTAGTTTTAACGATTACGTCTCATCGAGAATGAAATAACGAATTATTTTCTTCTTTATTGTCCATTTTGAACAGAGCACACCACTCTAAACATCTCGTCTTTCTGAGGAAGCACAAACATCCCAATGGAAACAGGGTTGTTTGTGTTCTGCTTGCTGCTCAGTGCAGAGAGTATTTTATGATCCACATCTTCAAACCAAAGACAGATCCCCTCAGGGGAGTGAACCTGAGCGATTGTCATGCTTTGTGTAACTGGGATGTGATCGGGGCAATACAAATAAAAGCAGGAAACAATGGCTCTGAGGCAGGAAAAGAGACTTTTGTGAGACACTAACGATAGCTGCATAACAACCCTGGGGGGGGGGAGACTCTGCAAAGAAAACAAAAATGACAAAGGAGGGAGGGATCATAAAAGGTCTCCAAATTCATTGTCTTCACACAGACCCGCCCCTTTACGACCCAAATAATTTCCCGCCACTCAGAGAGACAGAGA